AGTGGCAGACTTGGCGGGGGCGGAGGCGACGTAGTCAGCCGAATGGGTCTGTCGAGTAGAGCCCCGGGTCCATGAAATTGTAACCACGTCGGCTGCGCTCCATGGGTCCAGGTAATGTACGTCTGTACAACTTGTTCTGACATGATTTGAGCAACTCAGGAAAGACATCACTGCATGTCAACGACATTTCGCAACACGACAAGCAAGATTGAGTCACGTGCATGCAAGCAAGTATCATGTGATCAACAACTCAAACCGGACACACCGCCGCCGCTTATCATTTGGTCCATCAATGGTCGCTGCTGCATTTGACGGGCTTGTTCCTAGCCGCGAGCCTCAAGTTGTTGATAGACCTTCCATGCCTGCTTCACTTCCTCAATCGGCTTCTGAAGAAACCGCGCAATGGTCTTATAGGTGGGTCTGGAATCCTTATCTTTCTTCCGTCTCACCATTTCATCCAGCTCGCCCTGTGTCCATGCCGTGAAAGGTTCACGGTATGCATTGCGAAGTGCAATGGTAAACTCTTGTAGAAGTTCCCGAGGACCATGAACCACTGTCGGCGACGGCCGGAACGACGAGGCACCTGGATGGGGATGTATCGAACCATCAGAATCCGAATCAGGTGTCGTGGGCGTCGTCTGTCCTGGTTCTCGTGGACCGTGTGCCGCGAAAGGAGCACGAGGACGAGGCGGTGGCAGTCGATCTAACACAGATTCGGGCCGAGTACCAGGGTTGTGTTCACTAGCATCACGATGTGCGGCTCGAGGCGGTGACAAAGCCGGTATGTACCAGGTAGATGACGTGTCCACCGGTCGAGCCCGAATGCGTGTGGGGGAACGAGATCGGTCCGAGGAGGCGAGCTCCGTGATGATGCGGGGCCGCAACCCATGTCTGGAGTTTCTTGGTGCTCTCGGGGTCACCACCGTGTCTGTCGGACGACCACGCTCCGTCATCAAGGCAAAGTTCAGTGTGTCCAAAGCTGTCGCGACTTGGGATGCAAGAACATTGAGCACAGCCACCAGGTTGTTCACAAACTCAGCCGACAACTGCATGGCCACCAATCAAACCACAAGGGCAACTCACGCAAAGCTGCAAAGCGATAATGCTGCGGCATGACAGAGACACGGTGCATGCAAGCATGAACGAAGCAAACGCTGAGGTACTTTTGTCGCTGTTGCTCCGTCACCGTTCATAAGACAGACCGGATGGTCTGCAAGCTGGCATGGCTTTGACTGCCGGTGGGTACTTAGGTGTGTGAGCATGACGGCGGACCACGGGAACCGCATCAACAGGACGGTCTGGTAGCCGACGATGATGGCTGCGGGATCGTCTCCGGTGCGGCTCTCGATGTCTAGATCTTCGCCGTCGTCTGTGCTCCCAGGAGGTGCTAACACTCACCGTGCGCACGTGAGCAGGGTGCTCCGCACGGCTATCCGTGGTGGCCACAAGAGTGACCGGCGTTGCCATGTGGTCAGGTCTGACCGATGTTGCTGGCAAGTACGGCGGCGCCGTGGACGGCGGAGGCAGCGGCGGGGGGTGTACTTCCGGAATCGGTGGCGGTGGGGGCGGCTGTGGATGTCGCTGCTGGCCCTCAAGACGCTGCAGTCCAGCCAAAAGTAAATTGATTTGCGATGACATAGCGAGTAGCATGTGCCGACAATCACGTAGCATATCCCCATGATCCATCACAATCCCGGAAAGATGAGACAACCAGGGCCCAATCAACCAGTGATGACTAAAAGCGGCGACGGCAAGCATTCAGAAGGCAACCAACAAATCATGCAAGCAACACCGCACAAGGAAATATCAAAGTCAACCATGAGCCACGGACAATTCAATGCGTTTTTCGGAAGTGGAGCGTCATGAGGTTCATCATGAAAAAACACAAAGCGCACAACACATCAGGTCAGCAGCAACGCTATTGTACTGGCATGCTACCATGGTTCACCAGAAGATGCCCATGTAGCTGGGCACTGCGATCGAAGATCTTAGTTTCCACCTGCCATCCTTGGCATGAATGCAGTCAGAGTAGTGGGAGGCTGCTATGTCCGCGTACACGCCGCCGCGGGGTATAGTGCAATGCTGTTGTCGGAGACGAGCAGAGCCACCAACGCACACCGGGCGGTCCGTCCGGATTCCACCGAACTGCGCCGCAGATTGGATTGCCGCTTCCTGAGACTGGAGGCTGCCTCTGCAGTAGAATCCCATCGGTGGCAACCAAACTTCGTTCCAGTTGGAGCATTCACGATTGGGGGAAGGGTGTTCTTGCCACTTCGAAGGTCGGATCAGTTCCTCATCACGCAGGATTTGCATGGCAGCCTGTATGTTGGTGTTGTGGGACCAGAAAAATGTGGACTGCGATTGAGTGCGCTGCTTGTCGGGCAACAATCGGCGTGGCTCAAAGGAGAAGATGATCCCAAAGAGGTTCTTCTGCGAGTTCTTTTTGTCCGCGGAGAAGCGGTGAAACGTCCGCGTGGTTCTGCAGATATATGGCCACTTCTCCTCGCAAATGCCGAGCTGGACGATGAGTTGCTGCGGTAATGACCGCCGAGAGACCTGGAAGTAGTCCGAGATGTCTTTGACCACCTGCGCCGTCCAGCGTCCCGGAACCCCATGCGGCGGCTGAGCAAACGGAAACTCCGAAATGGACATGATCCGGTGTTCATCTTCTATGATGCTGCGGCGGTGTGGCATGAGGCTCCTGTAGACAGACTCCCATGATTTCTTCAACAGCTCCGGCTCAGGGAATACCAAGGCGGCAATCGAAGGTAAGGTGTAGTAGAGGACGTCATTCACTTCGATGGCGATCTCCTTGATCCGACACCCAGTGCGTAGCTTGAAGCGATGAACCCCCAAATCAGGCACCTGCCGACGAACTGAGAGAGGCACCAGCGCGATGCGGTTCTCAGAAGGACTGGCATGAGCAGGGGGAAACGGAGGCGAACGTGGCCTCCTTTGATCACTATGGGCGTGTCTGCCATCACTCCTCCATTCACCCCAATCTTCTTCCTCATCCGAATGCCCTTGCGGGCCCGGTGTGAGCTGGATCCGCGGAA